ACCATCCATAAGAACCTCCGTTGCCGCCCTGACCTAACCATACAGCAACGTGCCCGCTCCCGTGCACTCCGCATCGAACTCAAAAACCGTCTAGATAATGGAGAGAAGGACCTGTACATTGACTACCATGCTGACTGTATCAAAAGTAAACCACTCAACCCAATACTCAGCTTTTACCCTCAACCACAACCCTACCTCAACCCATCCACCATCACCCAAGACTAGGCACGCACGCCCCCAACTACCTCAATTCCAACTACTGCCGGCCTTAAATGCAAACTACTCAATGCAAGAAGCCTCGTGAATAAAATACCTGAATTTCTCTTCCTCCTAAATATGGCTAACTTCGACATTATATTTGTCTGTGAAACATGGCTCAATGCATCTCTCCCCGACTCCATTACCACAGTAAGAGACTATCATGTTTACAGATCAGATCGTGAAAATCGTCGAGGAGGTGGAGTTGCTATATTCTATAAAAAATCCTTACATCTAAAAAATATCCAAGTTACCCAGGAGTTTGCCCTTCCTGAAACCATCATCTGTGAACTATCCTCAAATATCACAATTCGATTCTTACTATGTTACAGAGCACCTGATTATGACATCGAACATGTAAACAAGCTAAATACATTACTAACATGGGCTGCATCCTGCCCATACCCTTTTATCCTTCTTGGTGATTTCAATCTACCTCATATTAACTGGACCCTAAATGATTGTACAACTGAAATCATACACACAACCTTCTACAATGCTATTACAAATCTGGGACTGGAACAACTAGTAACCAACAACACTAGACTAAACAACTGCCTCGATCTCATCTTCTGCAACAGTTTGAACCTAATCTACGGAATACAATCTAAAGAACCCTTTTCCAGTAGTGACCACAATATGATCGACTTTTGTCTCAACATACATCCACACAAAAATCACCACAATGATGTAATCCCCTATTGTAACTTCAAAAAAGGCAACTATGATCTTATAGACAACGATCTCTCATCCCTTGATTGGCAATCTCTATTCACTGGATGCAATACTGTTGAAGACCATTATAACATATTTTTACTTGAAGTCAAAAGAGTCATCAAACTATATGTACCAACAACAACTCCCAAAACAAAACAAAAAAGCAGATTACCCATATCAATAAGGAAACTTCAATCCAAAAAGAGATCACTCTGGCGGAAAAACAAATCTGGTCACGTTGCCAATTTCAAAAACCGATACAAAAATCTATGCCACCAGATAAAGACCGAATGCACCAATTATCACATTAAACAAGAGGAAAACCTTCTAAGCACCAATTCCACCCGCGCTTTTTACAATTTTGTAAACAACAAACTAAAAGACTCAAGGTCCATCCCTCCCTTGATAGGACCTGATGGTAAAGACTGCAACGACGACACCATTAAAGCCAACATCTTTAACACATTCTTCGGCTCAGTATTTGTAAACAGCAATGGATCATGCCCAATATTTCCTAGCCGTACCACAGATAACAACAATGATCTAATACATATCGATTTCACAGAAGACAATGTTGAAAAAGCAATACGCAACCTAAAACCATCTCTATCTATTGGACCGGACGGAATATGTGCCTACTTCTTAAGAAAGCTATCCTCTGCCATAGCCAAACCTCTAAGCATAATCTTTGAAAAATCTTTCAGAACCAGCTCCTTGCCTAACCTATGGTCACAAGCCACAGTCATCCCCATCTTCAAAAAGGGAGACCCAAGCCTAGTTGAAAACTACAGGCCAATCTCCTTATGCTGCGTCACCTGTAAAGTCATGGAATCAATTATTAACCAATCCATCATCCTTCACTTAGAGACAAATAACCTACTCTCCAATAAACAATTTGGTTTCAGGAAAAAACTATCCTGTAATCTGCAACTCTTACACTGCAAAAACATATGGACGACACAACTCGACCAGGGCAAAACAATAGACGCAATCTACATAGACTTCTGTAAAGCCTTTGATTCAGTGGTACACGACAAACTACTCCTAAAAATAAAATCCTATGGTATCTCTGGACAACTGAATAACTGGATAGAAGCATTCCTGTCAAACAGACAACAAATGGTCAAAATCGGGAGCGTCCTATCAAATCCAGTACCTGTCAATAGTGGTGTTCCCCAAGGCAGTGTTCTAGGACCAACTCTCTTCATACTCTACATAAACGACCTCTGTGATCATATTAAGAGCAATTGCGTTCTCTTCGCTGATGATGTAAAGCTGTTCAATACCACAGACAATACTGCTACCCTTCAAAAAGATCTTGACTATGTATCCGAATGGTCAAAACAAATGGCAACTTCAAATCTCAACAAATAAATGCTCTGTCTTACATATTGGCAAAAAAAATCAGAAAATAAAATACAAGCTGAATAGTCAAGATCTTGTTGATGACCCAAGCTCTGTAAAGGACCTTGGAATACTCACCTCTAATGATCTAAGTGCTAGAGCCCACTGCAACTACATAGCCAAAAAGGCATTAAGAGTTGTTAACCTAATCCTACGTAGCTTTTTCTCTGGTAATATCACACTACTAACCAGAGCATACAAAACATTTGCTAGACCAATACTCGAATACAGTTCATCAGTCTGGAATCCACACTACGTATCTGATATTAGCACAATTGAGAAAGTCCAGAAATATTTCACAAGAAGAGTTCTCCACTCCTCTACTCGCTGTAGAATACCTTATGCCACCAGACTTGAAATTCTAGAACTAGAAAACCTTGAATTACGCCGTCTTCGGTCTGACTTAAGCATGGTATACAAAATCATACATTGCAATGTCCTACCTGTCAATGAATACTTCAGCTTCAACCATAACAACACAAGAGCACACAATAGATACAAACTCAAAGTAAACCGCACCAAACTTGATTGCAGGAAATACGACTTCAGCAATAGAGTGGTCAATGTCTGGAATACTCTACCCGACTCTGTAGTTTCTTCCCCAAACCCCAAAAACTTTAACCTTAGACTGTCTACTATTGACCTCACCCCTTTCCTAAGAGGTCTGTAGGGGGCGTGCATAAGCGCACCAACGTGCCTACCGTCCCTGTCCTATTGTTTCTCCTATTCTTTTATTTTTCTTGTATGTAACCATTTCATGTATTCACAACTATGTATACATTTATACTTATTATCTTGTAAACAATTGGCAAATCAAATAAATAAATAAATAAAAAATAAATAAGCAGAATTCTAATACATGCCACTTGATCATTTTTATATGGCAATGCCTGCCAGGGAGTACAGCTAATATTGATTGCTGCATCCATGGTTAGTTAATTATTAATTAATTCCCGGTTTCTGTGTAGAAACAAATTATGCACAGAGGCATCTAAGGTTGTTATCCGCACCCTGAGGCAGGAGGAGTTAAAAAAGAGTGATCAAGCATATTGATCAACATACTAGTTATTATTAGATGTGCCAGCATTAAAAAGCAAAGAAGTAGATACCATACTTTGATACAAACACATACATACTCTATCACTCCATATAACATAATCTTTATCTGCTTTGGATAGAAATAGAAAGCGGAGCAAACTGCAGTTTTTGATTGGAATAGTCAGCTCAGCTAAAGCTTCAGGATTCTGTAAGAACAATAAAAAACTCCAGGTGCTATAAAATCATTTCATTACTTGTCTCGAGCACATTTCAGACACAAATCCTTCCTCAAGGGTTAATTTTAAAATCCTTCCTATAAATTCCGTATCAATTTCTGTTAGAAGCTGTGCTGTATAAATAGTTTTGAAGAAACAAAAGCTCTTCAGGATGGATTTGTACACTATCTAAAATATAATAAACAATTTTATCAAGAGCCTGAAGCATTTTTGTGTCTTTGCTTCTCCCTCATTTTTTTTATTTTATAAAGGGATTAGAGTTAAGCCTATGGTGACCTCATCCCAAACTGAACTTGATTAAGTGTTCTGAAACTGGAATTTCTGGCTCCTTAGAGAAATTGAAGCAAACATAAAGGAATTTGTACTGTTTATATCAAAAATTGTTGCAGCACATGTCAGTGATCAGGTCAGACCATATTTATCTATAGGCATATGTTTGAGAAAAGACAGATATATTTGCTTGGGAAAATAATGTCTATATAAACTGTCACCTTACAATTGCATAGAGTGTAAGGACAGTTTATATGGAGAAAATGACTTTAATTTGTATTCTTCTAATAAGCGAATGTAATATTTATTAATATCACCAAGGTATACTATAAAAGAAACCAGATTGTGGTAGATTTATTTTAATTTACTGTATTTGTTAAAAGGCACAGGCACATGACTCTAGGTCATGAGGTGAAAGTTCTGAATAAACAGGAATGTAACATTGAGATAAACACAATTTCATTACATTTTACTGGCAAGTGCCATCTTAGCAGCTAAAAAGAATTATACATTTAATATAAGGGTTATCAATTTCACTGTACCACAGTGCCTTCCCCCATGATAAATATTTGTGTGATGGTATGTGATTAAAACTACATAATTAAGAAATAAAACTGCTACGATTGGTAGTTATGCATATGGCTGCAACCAGGTGCTATATTGATCAACGTGAGATTTAGCCATCTCTCAAAACTCATTTGGTATTTTGCTCTTTCCACTACAGAAATATCTAAGCAACAAATTTTGATAGCGCTGCCATTTTGCCTATGAAAGTCTGATTAGCTAAAAAGAGAGAGAGAACACGCTTACAACAGAGAGAGAGAGAATGCGCTTACAACACCCAGGACTTTGACTAGTCTGAGAAATCCTGCATCAATTTTGAAATTCCAAAATAGGTTATACTGTAAATGAAAATCTGTTAATGCCAGAAACAAACAGCTGGAGAAAACACTGGTCTTACCATACCAGTACCGACTTAGCAACAAATTAAAATTGAGAAGTTTCAAAATTTAAAATAAACTTAGATTTGTATTTATAGTAAGCTGGACCATTGGAAAAATTGAAAAAAATACTTACTTTCTCACGTTCTTTGTACACCAGTGGCACATTTTTTTCAGTTTGACAATTGGGATCTATATTAAATATCTGCTTTTGCATTGTAGCTGTAAGAGATTCTGGATATATTTGCAGGTGTCCACACTGTTTGAACTGCAAAACACAAACAAAATAATCTATACAAATCAATACTTAAAAAATGAACATGAGATTTTATAATCTGTATTTTATTGTTTGTATTACAGCAACACCTAGAGGCTCTATATAGAAGCAAAATCTCATTCTATTTTCACTTTATAAAAATATAACATAAATAATTTCTATTTTCCAAGTTACATGATATATAAAATATGCTAATACATCACACACACATATACACTTCTTGGTGGATTGGATTTGAACAAAACTATTTTATTTATTATTTCATCTAGAGGGGGCTCTGAACAGAGCACATCACATTCATGTTGGAAGCACCAAGGATTAGTTAATGACATCATCATTGCCTAGAGGAAGCCCAATTGGGGGCTCCTTTCATGTCTCCAATAGGACATGAACAAAGGATGGGAGTTCACCCCAACTCTCAGCAAGGTACAAACATTAAAGCCAATAGACATTAAAATGATATAGCAATAAATAAAAAGTACAATTAAAAGATAGGGAGGAGGGAAAGCACGAAGGAGATGGGGAGAGGAGGGGTCACCTACAACAGAGTAAGAACTGTAACTGTCACTATGTAGGACATACAGGCTGAAGACCAGCAGATCATCAATGAACACCAAGTAGTCAGATGACATGATCAAAACTTTTTAAACTCTCAACACACGGACAAAGTCAACCATGGAACACCATTAAAAAAAAACAATAAGCCAAGAATGAAACAAAAAGACAGAAAATATATTATACAGTAACCAATAGCCAGACAAGCATAGATTAATCCCAGAAAAGCAATCAAGCAGAAAACAATAGCCTAGTCAAAGAACTACTAAGGAGAAAATCACACCTCTACCAATACTGGCAGGGCAAGATACTGTAGATAAATAGGGAGCAAACCTCACACTCTTTAGAATTGAGAATGTTAACTATTAGGTTAATGAAAAAACTGCAAGCAAACACGAGTTTTTAAGAACATCAAGGACTCCACATGAATTTCTGTACTATGGTATGTTAATAAAGCCGCCCAACTCAATATTGATTTAATGTGCAAATTAAAAACAGATACAATACTTACGAACAAGAGAGAGAGAGAGAGAGAGAGAGAGAGAGAGAGAGAGAGAGAGAGAGGCTTTATTTCAATTATACATGCCAGGTTAGCAGTCCTGAGTGGGAAGACTTGTTATACACCAATCTGTTGTTTAATTGCTAGAGTTCAGAGCAACCGAAGATCTAGTTACCTAGCAATGGAACTAAACAGTGGAAGCTGGAAGGCATAACTGGCATCAGATATTGACTCAGACATATATATGCGTAAAACTGGTAGAAAGATAGTAGGTAATAACCGCTAACTCATAAGAAATGAATGAAAGTAGAAAGAAACAAAACGGCTTTGTGTGCATCTAGCCACCTTGTGGGAATGATATCTAGAAGTTGAGTGTGTCTGAAGAAACTTAAAATATGTGTCAGAAGAAACTTAAAAATATAGTGGGAATATGGTAATTAAGTGTGCAGGGTAAAACAAAAAGATTCTTGAGAATGAATGGGTGCTGAATGAATATGGATTAAATATAGAAGTGATTGACTAGTATAAAGGAAGTACATTAAAGCCGTTTGGTCATACAGAGAGAATAAATGAGGATTGCAAACAAATATATGAACAAAGAGAATGGAATGGAATGGAAGATTCATAAAGATGTGGATAGGCAGATTTGATGAGATTCTCAAAGAGAACTGTGAGAACAGCAAAGAACAAAAAGCAATGTATAAATGTTGTGTGAATTCAGCCAATTTTATTCAATTAAATAATGTTGAACAAATTATCCCTTAGTGCAATACGCAACCAATTAAGTATTATTATAGGAATAAAAAAGACAATTCATAAGAATAAAGGGCAAGCATGTTTGACAAGGAGGCTTGCTATTAAGGCCAAATTAAAAGTGAAAAAAGAACATATTAAAGTGCATCTTCAGCATGATTGCATTGTACATATTTTCAACAAGAGCTTTCATAAGTTTTATTTTGCATGATGTAGAACAATAGCTCTCTACGTTCAATATGAAAGAAATAATCTATATTAACACTGTGTGTTCCTTATTAAAGCACAGAGCAATTTGGCATTTCATAACAATAATAGTGACTGCTTCTATTGTAACATATACTCCCATTAGAGAGCAAGGTAATGAGCCATTCTCTTGCCAAAAGGGGAAAAAAGAGGAACAGGGGGAAAAAAAAAAAGCAAATTAAGTAGATTGCATGAAGAAGGAAACAATAAATTGGAGGGTGGAAAAGGATGGAGGCAGGAAATGTTAAATTGTATGCAAAGAAAAGCATTACTATTATATACAATGCTTCTACATCACAATTATACTTTCTTCAAATAAAAATGAAGAATGGTTTAGGAAACCATTTTTGGAGGGGGTGATTTAACTGGTAACATTTTGCACAGACATCAGTAATACTAGGCAGATAAATGTTTGTGTACTCTATGTTAGACTGCAAGTGTTATACTCAATATATTTATATTTATATATTATATGTATATATTATTCCTTATTCTTCTGCCTCCTTTTCTCCAAGCAGTCAGAGCAACATTTACTATAGATTGCTCTTCTCTCACAAATCTGGTGTGACAAAACAAGGATGACCAAAAGAATCACTTCCTGCAAGATATTATAAGTTTTTACACCACACAAGCTGTTAGTCAAACTCAAGGGGAGAGGACAAGTTTATCTCCATATTAATTTTAATATTTTAATCTATTCAACCCAGGCATATGCTTTGCGAATTATAATTGTTTCATAAAGTTTCAAATTATTTTCCTTAAATCACGCAACGAGGCAGAGGGCAATACTTCGCTTTTAGTGCTTTAGTGCAAGAGACAGGAATCTTTCTGTATTTACACCAGAGACCGGGATTAAAAAAGAAACGAAGGGCGAAACAGAGACATCTTTCCTTGGACGAAGCAACATTTGGCACCCCTATATCGGGATCTATTATGTCTTTTTTTTCGCGGACCGACTCTCCTTCAGGTTAGGGCTCTTCCTTGCCTCCATGTGCCAAATCGACCAAATGAGCTGGACTCTGGCCTGACCGTTGCCACCTTCCTTACCCAGATACCATCTCGGGTGGTGTTTGGATTGGCCCGCCTCCCTTTCGGCATGGTGAGGAAACTGAGGCCGAGCGCTCCGATGACTCCTCGCGTGTGGGGGTTAACTTCGCCAGGGAGCTAGAGAAAGAAAAAGAAGAGCAAAAGATGCAGGAGGCAGTTCTGGTTGCCACGCCTACCGTTGTCAAGTTCCTTGCTTCTGCGTCACGCTGAGGGACTTCTGTTGTGTCCAGCGCTCCGAATGGCTTTCCCGACCATCGAAGAAAAGGCGGGAAATCGCTTCTGCGTCTCTTTACTTTTCTGCTTGAGGTAGTTTTTGTCTTTTAAAGAGCTTCCAGCTGACATCTAGGGAGCTCAAATTGATGCAGGGAAATCGTCAGGCCAAGAATTAAAGAAAGGTGGAGGAATTCTTTTTGAGGCGGGAGTGAATAGACTCCAGGGTATGGAGCGATGTCAACTCCATCTCTCCACAAGAGAAATAATAGTCAGGTTTCTGAATGGGACTTCTCAAGCAAATATATTATGTGATAATTGAATTGCAGAGTTTAACTTATTGGTGAAACTGATCTAATTGCTGCAGCCTCGCATTTTCCTGTCACAAGTTTTCATCAAAACCTAAATAAGTTGCATGGAGTCACCGAGACAGTTGTACGGCTATGTACATTTTTGTAATAAATAAATATAATAAACAGCATGAGCTATAAAATGTTTTTGGGAAGTTGCCAACACTGAAGAGTGGTACTTTCTTAGTGACCATTTGGGAGAAAGCTTATATAAATTAGTATTTCTACCACAAAGGAATGAGTGGAAGTAAAAAGGTGAGAAGGCCAATGTTCATTTGCTCATTTACAAGTAGATCTCAACTTACAACAGTTTTGTTTAGTGACTGTTTTTAACACTTATGACCATTGCAGCATCCCTATGATCACATCATCAAAATTCAGATGTTTGGCAACTGGCTCATTATGATGGTTGCAGTGTCCCAGGGTCATGTGATCACTTTTTGCAAAAATCTGATAAGGAAAATCAATGGGGAAGCCAGATTCACTTAAAAACCATGTTACTTAATCACTGCCCTGATACACTTAACTGTGGCAGGAAAGGTTGTAAAATGGGGCAAAATTCATTTCACAAATGTCTTGCTTAGCAACAGAAATTGTGGGCTCAATTATGGTCTACTTGTCATTGTATGTATGTACTCCAGGTATTGGGAAACATTTATATGAAATGTGGGTTCTATTAGCATTTAATTCTGTAGCAATCTTTTATAGATCAGTTTTGGTCCATGTTAAATAAGCAAACTGGCAGACCTTTTGTACTTCATTTCCTATTTCAAAGCTTTTGACCTCATCTAGAGGTCAATTTTTCCACAAACCCAATGTCATACTTAAAATAAACTTCATAATTTTAGTATATTTTTCACAATGTATAAAACATAATAACATAAAATAATTCTGTTTAGAATACATTATCCTAGATTGCTCTATAATTCCCTGCTGTGATTTCTTCTTGCCCGATTACTTCATATTCCTACTGGAAGCAATGAGACATTCTGTGAATAAGGCAAGATAAGTTTTTTTTATTTTTACAAAGAGAAAACACCAAGTTAAAGAAGTCCCTAGAAAATTGGCAGTCAGATGCTCTAAACTTTTTTGGTTCAAATCTTAAGAACATTTAATAGGCTCTCACAATATACTGTAGTTGCCATGGAAAAGCTTTTTCAAAATGGCTGTCATAGTGGTTAGGAACACAACAAGAGAAGGAAAAAATATGCTACCAAAACGTCATCCTTACATTTTATATTTATGCTTTAGTCTGCTTTATTTTACTTTTTTGTATCTATGTTTTTATCAGCTTGAAAATGTGAACTAGTTACATATATACTTAAAAAAATCAACAGTAAAAACAAAATCAATAATCTATGAAGTAGATTATGGCCATCACAAACATTAATTTATAGTTACAATGACCATATGTCTTTTATTATAAAGTACAATTCAATATTTCAGAAATCTGTTCATTAGACTTTTTTCAAAATCTCTTTTGTTTTTTTAATGCAGTCTCACATTCATGTGAAAAATATGGAATTTGAATTTCAGGTATTTTGATTAGCATGTCTTTTTGTACAGTTTTTGTTTTGCTCCTGAATTTTCCTTTGTAGGCCAACATTATAAATAATTAAGTTTAATCCTAATGAAACTTTTTCAGATCTGCTCCATTCTCACTTTTGTCTTTTTATTTTTTTTCAAATAAAATATGTCTACCATTTTTATAATAGGCTTTCTGCTGTGACTGTCTGTCATGCTCCTGAATAAATTTCACCTAAACTTCAAGCAATAGTCCTATATTCTCTGGAAAACCTGGCTTGGATCAAATCAATAATTTATTTATATGCTTCTCGTCTCACTGCTAAGCAACTCTAAATAGTAAAATTAACAAAGACTAAATATTTTTTTTAAAAAAACAGAATACAATGGGATAGGGATGGGATCTTCTTCCTAGTCCACTATCTATTTCCAATATGGAGTATCCCCAGGCCAATTGGCAAAGCCAGGTTTTGAGGCTGTTTAGGAAAATCAAGAGGATGGGGGAGGATCTCACCTTGATGAAGATAACATAATATTCTGGAGGATGAAAGCCACAGTAAAAAAAAAGACCCTTCTCTTGAATCTTACAAACCAGACCCTTTTGGATTAACAAATTTTGTAGCATTACCCTTCTGCCAAAATGAACAGGCCAATTCCATTGGGGAGTTCCTTTGGTAGCTTGACCCATGCCCTAAAGTTTTGCATTCCCTTTAAAAAACAGGCCAGCAGTTTGGACAATTCTGCATCTTCCACTATCACTGAATTTCTCTTTAGGACTAGTTTTATATAACCAATACTATGTAATAGTATCTGTGGCAAGGACTGTGTTTGGGGAATTGCTTCTAATATAATCAGAGTTTTCAGGTAAACAGAAAAGAAAGATGAAAGCTGAATTGAAAATTCCAAATAAGCACACAGTAATAGAATTCTGCTGGGTATGTTATAATTTGCTGCTACACATATCTGTTCACAAGATACTTTTGTGAAGTAAAAGCTGTTATTTAGAGCATTAAGAAGAGTTAGTAAAAAAAACTGAGCTACGGGAATTATGGAATTGCAATAAGCAAAATAAAAGGAAACTTAAACTGAGTTATCTCAGCACCATTAACAATATCACTTCATAATTTTATATTCCTGCAAGTGAGCCTTGGTTCCACCACAGCTATACCACTGCTGCATAATTTTCTTTTCTCTTTACAATTTTAACTTCTGTCATTTGAGGAGTTCATCAACTCCAGTCAGGAATTCCTTGGTCTTCTTTTTGATTAATTTACTCTTCCTTCATATATATTTTTCTTCAGGTCAGACTTCATTCATTTGCTATATGTGACCAAATTTTATAAACTGCTTAGAGAGGGCTGTAAAGCACTTAAAGCGATATATAAGTCTAAGTGCTATTGTTATATGCTGTATCTACCAATATAGGTATCGCCCCACCCCCACGTGTGCAGGTTTCCCGAAAATAAGA